TTGTCCAAGTGGAATGGTTGGAAATGCGTTCGTTCTGTGTACTGTCGGTCAAGGTACATCTTAGAAACTTCTTCCATTGCCCTAATTTTCTCCGCAGGGTAGTACTAAGTATTGCTCAGAATATTTACTATATTACCCTAATACCAGATACCGTAAAGGACAACCCATGCTCTCCTTCGCCTTGCGGACCAAACAGCGTCTGTCGAGAGATCAATGGTCAGCCCGTTTGCTCCTGCGTAGCAGGATTCTTAGGGGCTCCACCTACATGTAGGCCGGAGTGTACAGTCAGTTCCGATTGTCCTCTGACACAAGCTTGTAGCAACCAGAAATGTGTCAATCCATGCTCTGGGACATGCGGCTTCAGAGCCACTTGCAACGTCGTCAATCATAATCCCATATGTGGCTGCCCACCTGAGCTCACAGGCGACCCATTTGTCCAATGTGTCCCACGACGTAAGATTTCTTGCTTCAGTATTCTAGTTACTAGTTACTAAGCTACAATTTTAACAAACATAATGGTACTTCACTTTTAGCTCCCGAGCCCGCTGTACCGCAAAATCCATGCGAACCCTCTCCGTGTGGACCCAATGCAGAATGCAGAGTCGTCAATGATTCTCCGTCTTGCACTTGTTTATCTGAATTCATAGGCACCCCACCCAATTGCAGACCCGAGTGTGGCAGCAATAGCGAATGCCCCAGTCAGTTGGCTTGTATCAATCAGAAATGCAGAGATCCTTGTCCTGGATCTTGTGGGGCCAACGCGGAATGTCGCGTTGTCAGTCATACCCCTATGTGTGCCTGTTTGAATGACTATACCGGCGACCCCTTCACTCAGTGTACACCTACGCCACGTAAGGCTTACGAAATCCTTTTCTTGCTTTGAACAATCCGTTTCTGATCTCTAAATTGCTTCTTCAAAATATTGTAGTTGTTCCCGTCAATCTCTCCCCATGTAGTCCATCACCGTGTGGTTTCAATGCTATATGCAAAGAACAAAATGGTGTCGGATCATGTTCCTGTGCTGCTGATTACATCGGCAACCCTTATGAAGGATGCCGCCCCGAATGTGTCGTTGACACTGACTGTCCATCTACACTGAGCTGTATACGTTCCAAATGTCAAGATCCCTGTCCAGGTACCTGTGGCACTAATGCAGAATGCAAGGTCATCAATCACCGGCCTGCATGCAGTTGCCTTCCGGGTTACAGTGGAAATCCCTTCCAGTATTGCTCGATAGTGCCCGCAATAGGTACGATGTATTTTAATTTTTGTCAATCATCAAGATAATGAACCAAGTTTTACGTCTTATCTAAAGCTGTATAAAGCAGAAATTTATTCGTCTGTTTCGTGGTGTAAAACACGAATTAAAATCTCTTGCAGAGGATGAGACGAAGTATAAGGATCCCTGCAGTCCTTCGCCTTGTGGTCCCAACAGTCAGTGTCGCGTAGTAAACGGACAAGGTGTCTGCTCTTGTCTGGCAGAATTCACGGGTACACCTCCCATGTGTCGTCCCGAATGTACTTTAAATTCAGAATGTCCGCAAGATCGTGCCTGCGTTAACCAGAAATGTGTTAATCCATGCCCTGCTTCGTGTGGAACTTTCGCCACTTGCGTTGTCAGGAACCATAGCCCAATTTGTGCCTGCCGAGACTCATATACCGGAGATCCATTCACTAGATGTTTCCCCATCCCACGTAAGGAATTTCAGAAAATTTCAAAGTAATTTATATTCTTTTTGATATAACAGTAGACTGATTTCTAATTTTATAATTGCCCTTTTAGAAGCCTTACCACCATCCACAGTCGAACCTTCACAACCGTGTTTGCCATCCCCTTGTGGCCCTAATTCGGAGTGCCGTGTAGTTAACGGAGGTCCATCCTGTCAATGTTTATCATCTTACATTGGAAGTCCACCAAACTGTCGTCCAGAATGTACAGTAAACTCTGACTGTTCACCTAGTCAAGCCTGCATGAGAGAAAAATGCAGGGACCCTTGTCCAGGCTCCTGTGGTTCCAACGCTCAGTGCACGGTGCTCAATCATGTTCCTATATGTTCCTGCTTCAATGGATACACTGGAGATCCCTTCAGCAACTGTTACCCTGCTCCCGTGGCACCAAGTAAGAAAGTTAAAAACGTAACATTCAGTAGAAATTGTAAAAAGTTTGAAATTTATGTGATACACGTTAATTTTTCTAATAGCGGAACCGTCAGTGGTTGATCCTTGCGCATCATCACCTTGTGGTCCCAATGCACGTTGCGAAAGTGGTATTTGTACGTGCTTGACAGACTATCAGGGTGATCCATACGTTGGGTGCCGACCAGAGTGCGTACTGAATACAGATTGTGCCCAGAATCGCGCTTGTTTGAGAAACAAATGTGTCGATCCTTGCCCTGGTACTTGCGGTCGAAATGCAGAGTGTCTAGTATACAATCATGTGCCCATGTGCAGTTGTCCAAGTGGAATGGTTGGAAATGCGTTCGTTCTGTGTACTGTCGGTCAAGGTACATCTTAGAAACTTCTTCCATTGCCCTAATTTTCTTTACTGCATGGTACTATGGAAGTTTCCAGAACATTTACCAAATTCCCAAGATTTAGGTCTTTTTTAAAGTTGATCAAAGCAGAAATTTATTCGTCTGTTTCGTGATGTAAAACATGAATTTAATTCTCTTGCAGAGGATGAGACGAATTATAAGGATCCGTGTAGTCCTTCACCTTGCGGACCCAACAGTCAATGTCGCGTAGTAAACGGCCAAGGTGTATGCTCCTGTCTGCCGGAATTCACGGGAGCGCCTCCTATGTGTCGCCCTGAGTGTACTTTAAACTCTGAATGTCCTCAAGATCGTGCATGCGTTAACCAAAAATGCGTGAACCCTTGTCCTGCTTCGTGTGGCAGTTTCGCATCTTGCGTGATCAGGAACCACAGTCCAATATGTGCTTGTAGGCCATTATATACTGGAGATCCTTTCACAAGATGTTTTCCCGTGCCACGTAAGATATTTGGACGTGGTTTCAATTGTTCTAAAATTAAATAGATGTCTTATTTTCTCATTGCCCTTTCAGAATCCTCACCACCTACAGCAGTTGAAACTTCACAACCTTGTTTACCTTCTCCTTGTGGCCCAAATTCAGAATGTCGTGTGGTCGGTGGAGGCCCATCTTGTCAGTGTCGACCAAATTTCGTTGGAAGTCCACCAAATTGTCGGCCAGAATGTACAGTGAATTCTGACTGTTCTCCTAGTCAAGCCTGCGTGAGGGAAAAGTGCACAGACCCCTGCCCAGGTTCTTGCGGCTCGAATGCTCAATGTATGGTACTCAGTCACGTGCCTATATGTTCCTGCTTTGAAGGATATACGGGTGATCCTTTTAATGGTTGCAACCTAACTCCCGTTAGTCCAAGTAAGGATTTTACAGAAAATTCATATGTCATGTTTGTGAATGATTTTTAAGTATTTGCAACACGTTTGTTCTTTCTGCAGCAGGACCAACTGTTGTTGATCTATGTGCATTATTGCCTTGTGGCGCTAACGCACGTTGCAATGATGGAATCTGCACTTGTCTACCAGAGTATCAGGGTGACCCTTATGTTGGTTGTCGACCAGAATGCGTACTAAATGGGGATTGCCCTCAAAATAAGGCTTGTCTGAGAAACAAGTGTGTTGATCCTTGCCCTGGTACATGTGGTGTAAATGCACAGTGTCAAACATACAATCATGTGCCCATGTGCAGCTGCCCAAGTGGAATGGTGGGAAACGCCTTCGTTCAATGCAATGTTGTACAAGGTATAGCTTGACGAATTTTCCTGACATTCTTGACCGGAATTGTTGCGTTATAGGCAATTATTGCGTGATAAATAGAACTAATGTCCTTTGTTACGTAAAAGGCAAAATATAAATTTTAATATTGTGTATTTAAATAACATAATCTAAAAGTTAAATAACATAATCTAAAAGAATTACTAAAAGTTCACAGACACCGGTTGAAAAAAAATTACTGACATTGTTTGCAAAATTAATTTGAAGAACTTATCAATGGAGCACTCCACTGAAACTTTATCATCTTGTGTCATAGAAACCGGAAAGGAAAACCCTTGCTCTCCTTCGCCTTGTGGACCTAACAGTGTCTGTCGAGAGATCAATGAACAAGCAGTCTGTTCGTGTGTAGCAGGATATTTAGGTTCTCCACCTACCTGTAGACCAGAATGTACAGTCAGTTCCGATTGTCCTCTAACAGAAGCGTGTAACAATCAAAAATGTGTAAACCCCTGTCCTGGTACATGTGGATTTAGAGCAACCTGCAATGTTGTCAATCACAATCCTGTATGTAGCTGTCCAGCTGATCTCACTGGCGATCCATTTGTGCAGTGTGTTCTACGACGTAAGATTTGCTTCATACAAATTTTCCTGTTTATACAACTATTTGCGTAACGTGAACAAAATTGATGCTTGTTGTTTTAGCACCTGTGCCCGTAGTGCCACAAAATCCATGTGAACCCTCTCCATGTGGTCCAAATTCAGAATGTAAAGTCGTAAATGATGCTCCTTCCTGTTCCTGTTCGTTAGAATTTATAGGCACTCCTCCCAATTGTAGACCCGAATGTGCCAGTAACAGCGAATGTCCAAGTCAGTTGGCTTGCATTAATCAGAAATGCAGAGATCCTTGTCCTGGATCCTGCGGGGCGAACGCCGAGTGTCGTGTCGTCAGTCACACTCCGATGTGCGTTTGCCCTGAAGATTATACTGGCGATCCTTTCACTCAATGTGCACCTAGACCACGTAAGGACCAAGCATGTTCTTTTCCTAGTATTTCTTTTCTCTAAATTACAGTTATTAAAAATTTTTATCCCTCGAAGATATTAAATGATATGTTAAAACATTTTAGCTGTCCCCATCAATATTTCTCCATGCACTCCATCACCATGTGGTTTCAACGCGATATGCAAAGAACAAAACGGCGTAGGTTCATGCTCCTGTTTAACCGATTATATGGGCAATCCCTACGAAGGATGTCGCCCAGAATGTGTGGTTGACACGGATTGTCCATCTACATTGAGTTGTATACGCTCTAAATGCCAAAATCCCTGCCCTGGTACTTGTGGCACGAACACAGAATGCAGGGTCATTAATCATCGTCCTGCGTGCACGTGCATTCAAGGTTACACTGGAAATCCATTCCAATATTGCACCCCCATTCCACAAATAGGTATGAATAAATATATAACCGTTTCGTTCTCTGACGAAGTATCATCACGAGAAATATTATGTATTCTGAGCAAGCTTTCAGGAAAGAAAAGATCATGGTTCTTTTTATTCCTGACGATAAGTAGAAATATTTTTTCACGATGTAAAACACACATTAAAATCTTGCAGAAGATGAAACGCAAAATAAAGATCCGTGCAACCCTTCACCTTGCGGACCAAACAGTCAATGTAGCATTGTAAATGGGCAAGGTGTCTGCTCTTGCCTGGCTGAATTCACTGGCACACCTCCCATGTGTCGTCCCGAGTGTACTTTAAATTCAGAATGTCCTCAAGATCGTGCATGCGTTAATCAGAAGTGTGTTAATCCATGTCCTGCCTCTTGCGGAACATTCGCCACTTGTGTAGTCAGGAACCATAGTCCAATCTGTGCGTGCAGAGAATCATATACCGGAGATCCTTTCACCATATGTTTCCCCGCGCCACGTAAGGACATTTCGAAAATTGACGAATTATTTTATATTGTTTTATAATTAAATATCCCGTTCATTCCTTAATTACCCTTTTAGAAGCTACACCTCCAACAGCAGTCCAAGTTACACAACCCTGTTTGCCTTCTCCGTGTGGTCCAAATTCGGAGTGCCGTGTAGTTAACGGAGGTCCATCTTGTCAATGTCTACCAACTTATATTGGAAGCCCTCCTAATTGTCGACCAGAGTGTACAGTAAACTCTGACTGTTCCCCTAGTCAAGCTTGCATGAGAGAAAGGTGCAGAGATCCTTGCCCAGGTTCTTGTGGTTCCAATGCTCAATGTATGGTCTTGTATCATATCCCAATATGCTCCTGCTTCGAAGGATACACGGGAGATCCTTTCAGCAATTGCTATCCAGCTCCTATTAGACCAAGTAAGAAAGCTGAAAATACATTATTAAATGAAGTTTCTTAAATGTTTGAAGAAAATGAGAAACATATTTATTCCCTTCATAGCTGAACCGAATGTTGTCGATTCCTGTGCATCGTTGCCTTGTGGTCCTAATGCACGTTGCGACAATGGAGTCTGTACATGTTTACCAGAGTACCAGGGTGACCCTTATGTTGGATGTCGACCAGAATGCGTATTAAATACGGATTGCCCTTTGAATCGAGCTTGTATAAGAAACAAGTGTGTCGACCCTTGTCCTGGAACATGTGGCTTAAATGCAGAGTGTCGCGTATATAATCACGTACCCATGTGCAGTTGTCCCAGTGGAATGGTTGGAAATGCGTTTGTTCAGTGCAATATCCTACAAGGTACAACGCGACGAACTCTTTATTCAACGCTTGATTTATGTCTGCGGGTAGTAGGTGGCCGTAATATCTCCGGTTACGTTAATGTTCGAATACTTAAGTTTTATATTTATTTCGTACTTTATATGATATTAGCGATAACTGTTAACATAGCTTATGTCACGTCTGTGCTATTTCAAAGGTAACTTTGAGAAGAGTTGAGAACGCGTGTGCGTCTTTTTGAATTCAGAAAAGTCGCAGTATTCGCTACCAACATGCACAACCGTGGCATAAACCAGGGGTTTTCGAAACGTGTCTTAATGGCCACTAACAAAACGACGATTGAAATATTAAAAACGCTATCGTAAATTAGCATCTCTAAATGTATACCATATTTCCATGATAACAGATACCGTAAAAGGAAACCCATGTTCACCCTCGCCGTGTGGACCAAACAGTGTTTGTCGAGAGATTAATGGTCAGCCTGTCTGCTCCTGTGTAACAGGCTATTTAGGAGCACCACCTTCTTGTAGACCAGAATGTACAGTCAGCTCCGATTGTCCCTTGACAGAAGCTTGTAATAATCAGAAATGTGTAAATCCTTGCCCCGGTTCGTGCGGATTCAGAGCTACTTGCAACGTTGTAAATCACAATCCTATATGCAGCTGTCCACCTGAACTCTCTGGCGATCCATTTGTTCAGTGTGTTCCACGACGTAAGATTTGTTCCCTCGATATTTCCACTGTCACTAACGATATTTATGAGACGAGTAATCGTAATCTACATGTGTAATTTTAGCACCCGAGCCCGCAGTACCTCAAAACCCATGCGAACCCTCTCCATGTGGACCCAATGCAGAATGCAGAGTCGTCAATGATGCACCCTCTTGCTCGTGTTTATCGGAATTTATAGGCAGCCCACCCAATTGCAGACCCGAATGCGCCAGCAATAGCGAATGTCCAAGTCAGTTGGCCTGCGTAAATCAGAAGTGCAGAGACCCTTGCCCTGGATCTTGTGGGACGAACGCTGAATGTCGTGTTGTCAGTCATACTCCTTTGTGTGTCTGCCCCAGCGACTATACTGGAGATCCGTTCACTCAATGTTCACCCAATCCACGTAAGGATTAAAAATTTCCTTCTTTTGTTTTTTAACTTCTAAATTATAGTTGCCAAAGATTCCTTGGAGATACTACGATTTCTAATTTCCGATCGTTATTGAAATCTATTCGTGGTCGAAGCAATAATCTTGTGCAGAGAGGACCTTTAACATTGATTGTATTTATTGGTTACTTTTTAAAAAAATTGGTTACTCATTAAAAAAATTTTTAGCTGTCCCTGTCGATCGGTCTCCGTGCACTCCATCACCGTGCGGATTCAACGCGATATGCAAAGAACAAAACGGTGTAGGATCCTGTACCTGTTTGGCCGATTACGTCGGTAACCCTTACGAAGGATGTCGCCCCGAATGTGTCGTTGACACTGACTGTCCATCCACGCAGAGCTGTATACGCTCTAGGTGTCAAGATCCTTGTCCCGGCACATGCGGCACAAATGCAGAATGCAAAGTCATCAATCATCGTCCTGCATGCACGTGTATTCAAGGTTATAGTGGAAATCCTTTCCAACATTGCGCATTGATACGTGAAATAGGTACGAATAAACTTTCATCCCTTCTTGCATTTTACATAAATTTTTATCAAAAAAATTTCGAAGAACACCGATATGTTTCTCATGGTTCTAAATTTAAATCTTGTAGAAGATGAAACGAAATACAAAGATCCGTGCAACCCTTCATCTTGTGGACCTAACAGTCAATGTCGTGTAGTAAATGGCCAAGCTGTTTGCTCTTGTCTGCCAGAATACACAGGCACGCCTCCAATGTGTCGTCCCGAGTGTGTTCTAAACTCAGAGTGTCCTCAAGATCGCGCCTGCGTTAACCAAAAGTGCATGGACCCGTGTCCCAATTCTTGTGGCACGTTTGCCACCTGCGTGGTCAAAAGTCACAGTCCGATCTGTGCTTGCAGAGAATCATACACCGGGGATCCTTTCATCAGATGTTTCCCTGCTCCACGTAAGATACCTTGAAACTAATTTAAATTATCTTGCAGTTACATATATAGGTTCCTTATTTCATAATTGCCCTTTCAGAAGCACCACCACCGACAACAGTCGAAGCTACACAGCCCTGTTTGCCTTCCCCGTGTGGTCCAAATTCAGAGTGTCGTGTAGTCAATGGCGGCCCATCCTGTCAATGTCTATCCACTTACATTGGAAGCCCTCCAAACTGTCGTCCAGAGTGTACAGTAAACTCTGACTGTTCACCTAGTAAAGCCTGTATGGGAGAAAAATGCAGAGACCCATGCCCAGGTTCTTGCGGTTTCAATGCTCAATGTACAGTATTCAATCACGTTCCTATGTGTTCCTGTATCGCTGGATACACCGGTGATCCTTTCAGTCAATGTAATCAACTAATCACTCCTCGTAAGTAGTTTTCATTCAGAAAGATTTTTTATGTTCTATCACCGATTTTCGATTGGAATTTTTAAAATGGCTGATACAACATTTTTGGTAGCAGCTGAACCAACACAGACGGATTTATGTAATCCATCACCCTGTGGACCTAACGCTATTTGCAACGACGGAATCTGTTCTTGCATGCCCGATTACTATGGGGATTCTACCATCGGTTGTCGACCAGAATGTGTACTTAACAACGACTGCCCCCGAAACAAAGCTTGCGTGAGAAATAAATGCGAGAATCCCTGCGTTGGTGCATGTGCCCCTGATGCAATTTGCGACGTGGTTAATCATGTTCCAATGTGCAGTTGTTCTCCTGGTTTCGAAGGAAATGCCTTTGCATTCTGTCGTCCAGCTATAGGTACTTTGTCGTGTTGAAAAGAATTTTATGTTTCTTTAGTTTATAAGTCAAGACCATTTATTTACTTAAACAAATTATTTAGTTAAAGAAGGCATTTAAATCCAGACGTTTTTACAAGTAATCGTATTTCGACAGCCGAACTTCCATCTAATCCGTGCAATCCATCGCCTTGCGGATCTAACAGTCAATGTCGAGTGAAGAATGGCCAGGCAGTGTGTAGTTGCGTACCAGGCTATTTAGGAAACCCGCCAATCTGTCGCCCAGAATGTGTAGTTAGCTCTGATTGCCCACCAAACGAGAGTTGTAGTAACCAGAAGTGCATAAATCCTTGCGTGGGCTCGTGTGGCTTGGGAGCTCGTTGCACTGTCGCGAATCGTAATCCTATTTGCCACTGTCCTGAAGGATTCACGGGAGATCCTTTCATTAGGTGTCTTCCACTTCGTAAGTTCCCTTTTTTAACTGAGAGATTCGGTGCACAAATGATACAAGTAAGAATATATATTTTTAAATCCAAAAAATTACAGGTAAAATTAAACTCTAGAAATATTAGAACATATTACTGTATCAAATTAAATAAAACGTTAGTAGATAAAATATTATATTATATTATAGATATATATTATCTAAATAGTAGATTAAATATCGAAACAGGTTACTAATATTGTACTTCTAATTGTGCTGATTCGTAACGAAACTTTTTAGATAAATGTGACATCCTTTTATCTTTTTAAAACAAAATACATTTGTATCAATGTTCCACCGAGTCTGCAAAATATCACGAACATCTGAGCACCCACGAAAAGTTTCATTTTTAATATCTGAATAAAATTTTTAGCGCCAGTTCAGCCAGAACCGATAAACGTTTGCCAGCCATCACCATGCGGACCCAATGCTCAGTGCCAAATATCAGGAAATTCACCTTCATGCAGTTGTTTACCCGAATTTATCGGTTCACCGCCATATTGCAAGCCAGAATGCATTAGTAACAGCGAATGCCCTACAAATTTGGCGTGCATAAATCAAAAGTGTCGCGATCCTTGTCCCGGTTCCTGTGGCGCCAATGCAGAATGCAGAATAATTAGCCACACGCCTATGTGCGTTTGCTCTTCGGGTTTCGTTGGTGATCCATTTGTACAGTGTACTCCAAAACCAGGTAAAAAGACTCTCGCATTCCCAGGAAGTATTCTATCGTCGAAACGAATAAGTATTTCTCACAAGAGAAAATTTACAATTTGTAGTTATCCAAGATCAAGAAATAGAGAAACTCACCCCATGTGTACCATCTCCTTGTGGATCTAATGCAGTGTGTAACGAACAAAACGGCGCAGCATCCTGTAAATGCATCACTGATTATATTGGCAATCCTTATGAAGGATGTCGGCCAGAGTGTATCGTTAATTCCGATTGCTCAGCTGATCAAGCTTGTGTTAGATCCAAATGTCAGAACCCTTGTCCAGGATTCTGTGGACACAATGCAATGTGTCAAGTTGTTAATCATGTTCCATTATGTACCTGTCAATCTGGATATACCGGAGATCCGTTCGTTCAATGTAACTTTATTCAAGCTCCGCGTAAGTATTTATGTTAGGCGGAACCTCTATTATCCGAAATTTTCTTATTCAGATATTTTCGAGCAGTGCAACTTATGAAAATAATGTCGAAGTCATAGGTTTTCACGGTTTTGTAATATGGACGTTCTTACAGCGGAACCTGCTGACCCTTGTAATCCATCACCCTGCGGTCTGAACAGTCTGTGTCGTGTATTCAATGGACAGGCTATCTGTTCGTGTTCACCTACGTTTTTGGGATCTCCACCGATGTGTAGGCCAGAGTGTACGGTCAGCTCAGAGTGTACAACAAACCGTGCTTGCAAAAACCTCAAATGCGTCGACCCTTGCCCTGGAATTTGTGGCATCAATGCTAGATGCGAGGCAATTAATCACAGTCCGATCTGTAGCTGTAACGTAGGATATACTGGCGATCCCTTCGTTAGATGTTTCAAAGTTCCAAGTAAGTAATTTGGGCTGAATTTCGTGCAAAACTATTCCAATCCATTCGTTTTAACCCACTGAAATTTAAAACCATTTGTCGATCATTTACTAAAGTACAACGTTGGATGAAAGAGACAAGGATAGGTTCTTAATGGTAATATTTTCCTTCAGCGGTATCCGAACCAGTGAACCCCTGCGTGCCATCGCCCTGTGGCCCGTTCTCTGTGTGTCGCGTCGTTGGAAACGCGGACCTACCAAGCTGTACCTGTATGGACGATTACATAGGAACTCCTCCAAACTGTCGACCGCAATGTACCATCGATTCAGAATGTGCCAGTAACCGAGCTTGTCTCAGACAAAAGTGTACAGATCCTTGTCCAGGTTCCTGTGGTACTGGAGCAGAATGTTTAGTAGTGAATCACATGGCTGTGTGCACTTGTCCCCAAGGATTCACAGGCGATTCATTTGTCAATTGTTTCCTAGAATCTCCTCGTAAGCATTGTCATAGAAATTTAGAACTTTATGAAAACAATAATACAAATGCATCCCTTCGAAGCAGTATTTTTAATATTTTTGTTGATACGTATAGAACGATATTTAATGACACTTTTCATCGCAATTTTATCCCTCAGAACAATACCTAATAGTTACAGCCTTTAGAACAGAATTTAATGATATTTTTCCTACTAGCTTCACCAACAGCACCCCAAGATGCCTGCAACCCCTCACCGTGTGGATCGAACGCACTGTGTCGCGATGGTACATGCACTTGTCTACCAGAATACCACGGTGATCCATATTACGGATGTCGTCCGGAGTGTGTCCAGAACCCAGACTGTCCTTTAGACAAAGCTTGCAATCGTAACAAGTGTTTTGATCCTTGTACCGGTGTCTGCGGACAGAATGCCGAATGCGTGGTGATAAATCATACTCCCATGTGCAGTTGCCCCGATGGCATGTCAGGAAACGCATTCACAGCATGTTTCCCAGTGAAAGGTAAATTATTATATCATGACAACGATCAATAACATTGAATCTGTATGTGATTTGTGATAAGAGACATTAGTCGAGAGAAAAGCTGAAACGTGTCGAACATCCTCGAAATCGTTGAACCGAGGCCTTTGTCAACTTAAACATTCGCTGACGTACAGTGTTCTGAAATAGCTATCTAGCTAGGGAAAATTATATTTTGCCTTAAAAATCCAACCCTTTGTTTTGCAGACCCAGAGATAGTACAACCTTGCAACCCGTCACCCTGTGGTCCTAATAGTAGGTGTCAGGACATCAGTGGACAGGCAGTGTGTTCGTGTGCCCCTGGTTACATAGGAAACCCACCAGCTTGTCGACCTGAATGTATAGTTAACAGTGACTGTCCATTGAACGAAGCTTGCGTGAATCTCAAATGTAGAGACCCGTGTCCTGGATCCTGTGGAGTATCAGCTAGGTGTCAGGTCGTCAATCATAATCCTATTTGCAGCTGTCCTTCGATATTCACTGGTGACCCCTTCGTGCGTTGTTTACCTAAACGTAGGTGTCTTTTATGATTATTTAATTTAGAGATAACATCTCATTACGGAGGTAACGGAAATTTAATTTGTGGATTTTCTGAAAAGCTGAAGAGCCAGTGCAACCAACCAGCCCGTGTCAGCCATCACCGTGCGGTCCAAACGCAGTTTGTCAAGTGGTTAATAACTCTCCGTCGTGTTCTTGTAAACCAGAATTTATTGGTGTTCCGCCAAACTGCAAGCCAGAGTGCATCAGTAATAGCGAATGCGGTAGTCACTTGGCGTGTATCGAGCGTAAATGCAGAGACCCTTGCGCCGGTTCTTGTGGTTCGAACGCTGAATGTCACGTTGTGAATCATGTTCCATCGTGCATTTGCTCGAAGGACTTCACGGGAGATCCGTTCGTTCAGTGCATTGCCAGACAACGTAAGTGTCCTGATCGATATTTCATAAAATAGGACTTTTATTGGTACCTTATTGACCTGACTTTGTTACGATTGGCAACTTTGACAAATTAGTGTAGTAGCGTAGAATTTCTCTTGAAGAAAAGAACATTCTTTTTACTAGAAATACTGAAGCTTAAATGCTCAAAAATCAGATAATTCGAGTTTCCAAAAAAAAACGTACATTATCTTGTAGAACATTTTACTGAATATTTCTTGAAAACCTGAGAAAATAGAAATTTCAATAATATACCCCATCGTTAAAGTGTCAATAATAAGAAGTAATCAAGTTATTCATCGACTTAACAATATAATTAAATTCGTCTTTAACTTCTTTTAGCGGATACAACAGTCGTACCTAGACCCTGCCAACCCTCTCCGTGCGGAGCAAACGCCATTTGTCGCGAACAGAATGATCTTAGTTCCTGTACCTGTTTGCCCGAGTACATCGGCAATCCTTACGAAGGATGTCGACCAGAATGCACTAGATCATCAGACTGTCCCTCTCATTTAGCTTGTATCAGATCCAAATGTCAAAATCCTTGCCCTGGTTCTTGTGGCTCCAATACCAACTGTCAAGTAGTGAACAATCTACCTGTGTGCACTTGTATCCCGCAATACACTGGCGATCCATACGTGAATTGCGTATACAAAGCTCCCACAAGTGAGTAATTAACACGAATAATTGAAGAGTACAGAGGAAAAGACACGATATGTTATATTTTTCACTTTTTACAAAGGAGAATATTTTCTAATTTAATACGCTGTCAGTTAATTCTATGTTGCAAAAATTGTTCTCTTAATCGATTTTCAAGGCGAACATGTATTTTTCCACTGTTGCCATAATTTTAAAAATACTTCTTGCCAGAGTATCAAAATTCTTGATAATTGTACTTTCAACTTTTCATAAGATTTTTCCAATCCTCCAGTTATTTTTAAAAGCATTATATCTTTGAATTATTTTCAATTCTTAAAATACTCCTTTTTAGTCATAAAGAGACATTAAAATAAAAATACCAACAAAAATGTCCCGTCGGGTCTTTCTCCTGTGATCTTCAATTTCACTTCGCTCCTTCTATTCTTGCTTCGAGATACAAGCTCCATGTTATACACTTTACAGTTGACGAAGACGAGCGAGACGTATGCCAACCATCCCCTTGTGGTCCGAATAGCCAGTGCCAGAAAGTAAATGGTCAGGCAGTGTGCTCGTGTCAGCCTCAATATGTAGGAACCCCACCGAACTGTAGACCAGAGTGTGTCGTAAATTCGGAATGTAACTCGAATCTCGCGTGTATTAACCAGAAGTGTAGAGATCCTTGTCCTGGTACTTGTGGCCGTAACGCACAGTGCAAGGTTGTGCACCACAGTCCGATTTGCAGCTGTGGAAGCGGTTTGACGGGAGATCCGTTTGTTTATTGTTTCCCTGTTCCAAGTAAGTTTGAAAGAAATCTTGTTATATAATCTTCGTAAATCAATTATAATTAACAATAACATTTTTCAAATATTTTTCTGAGCTTCATGGTTTACTCTCTGAATCCGTATAAGAAAATTTATGCGATTTCATTATCAATTAAGGAGTGTTCCCTATCAATATCTCGTATTTCAACGATATTTACGCTATAGTGCCAAAACCGGAAGAGCCGTACCCTAAGGATCCCTGCACCCCATCCCCCTGTGGTTCAAACGCCATGTGCAAGGCCGTTGGAGAAACTCCAGTCTGCACTTGCATAAACAACTACATCGGAGTGCCACCAAATTGTCGACCGCAATGTTCCATCAATTCAGATTGTACAGCAGACAAAGCTTGCATTAGAGAGAAGTGTAGAGATCCCTGTCCAGGATCTTGCGGCGTGAACGCACGCTGTACAATTGTCAATCATACGCCAGCTTGCACTTGTCCCGAAGGATACACCGGCGATCCTTTCACCAGCTGTTCACCAACTCCTCCGCCAATCAGTAAGAATCCAGATAATCATTCAACATTTTTTTTTCTTTTCTTCTGTTCCCTTGTAGGGTTAATATGTAAGTGATAGACCGGGAGGAGTACATTGAGTCACTTGTTTCAGTCTCAGAAGCCCCAACAGACCCATGCAACCCATCACCGTGTGGACCAAACGCACAATGCAATAATGGCGTGTGCACTTGCTTGCCTGGTTATCTGGGCGACCCATACACCATTTGCCGCCCTGAATGTGTTATCAACACCGACTGTTCCCGAAACGAAGCCTGCCTACTGCACAAATGCAGAAATCCCTGTGTAGGAACCTGTGGAGTAAACGCAGAGTGCACCGTGATCAATCATCTACCTATGTGCAGCTGTCCTAGGAACATGACAGGCAATGCTTTCGTTTCGTGTAATCCTATTCAAGGTTGGTCCCCTGACTCATCTTTCGTTTCATTCTTCCCTGAAATTATTTTCACTTCCACCGTGTATGATACGTAGCCTGTGAATTTTATTTAAACGAATCTGTTTTAATTACGCGCGGTATCACGTTGTATATTTTGTACAATAGTTGTAACGTAAATTCATACCGTTTTCTTATTTATCAAAAACGAAGGAAACGGGACGAATATACGTTAGAACTTAATATAATATTACTTTTTATACTTTTTTCCTTTGTAATCTGAGAGAAACTCGGATTGCTCAGCAGCAGTTGAAAGACGCTTATTATTAATATTTTGGAATTTATGGTATGACAGAAATCACCGCAGTTGATCTATGCAACCCATCACCCTGCGGTTCGAACAGCCATTGTCGTCCTTCCAACGGTCAAGCTGTCTGCAGCTGCGTTACTGGATTCAAAGGATCGCCACCATTCTGTAGAGCAGAGTGTATCGTTAGCACAGATTGCCCTCGAAACAGAGCTTGCAGTAACCAAAAATGCATCGACCCTTGTCTCGGTGCTTGTGGATTGTCTGCTCAATGTTCCGTGATCAATCATAATCCTGTTTGTAGCTGCTTCGAGCAGTATACCGGAGATCCATTTATTCAGTGTGTCCCACAAAGTAAGGCTCATTTATCACTCCAGAGATTTCTCGGCAAAAATATGTCTCTGTTCCGGTTTTTTCTTGAAAATTTGGAATTTTGCAAATTTGAAATCTGAAAAATATTTATCAATTTAATTATTTTACTTCCGGATCCAATGTATCTTACTACTACGAGATTACACGACTTACTAGATATTTTTGTACCGAAGGATGGTCCTGCTAAGATTGGCATTTTCTTTTAGTAAAAGAGCCAGATACCCCGATAAATCCTTGTCAACCATCGCCTTGTGGTCCAAACGCTCGATGCCAAGTCACCAACAACGCACCCTCGTGTTCTTGTCTTCCTGAATTCGTAGGAGTCCCACCATATTGCAAACCCGAGTGTCTGAGTAATACAGAATGTTCAACGCAGCAGGCTTGCATCAATCAGAAATGCGCGGATCCTTGCCCTGGCTCCTGTGGCAGGAACACAGAGTGCAGGACGATTAGTCACACCCCTATGTGCACTTGTGCAAGCAATTTCACTGGAAACCCGTTCGTACAATGTACACCCCAACCAAGTAAGATCTTCTCTTCCTTAATCATCCATTTTTAAGTACATCTAAAAAAAATTAACGTCACTTCTGTTTTATTCCACTTATAGTCGAAGATAGACCACAGAAACTCAACCCCTGCCAGCCATCTCCCTGTGGCCCGAACGCCATTTGTCGCGAATCGTACGGCACAGCCCGGTGCACCTGTTTACCTGACTTCTATGGTAACCCATACGAAAATTGTAGGCCAGAGTGTATTATCAATGCCGACTGCCCATCTAACCGAGCCTGTATAAGGAACAAGTGTCAAGATCCCTGTCCAGGAACCTGTGGCTTTAACGCCGATTGCCAAGTAGTGAATCACATTCCAATTTGCAGTTGTAGCTCAGGTTACACTGGTGATCCATTTACAGCTTGCAGCATACTTAAACAACCCCGTGAGTTTTTCCAACTGCAGATTTTAAGAAATATTCTCCATTTATGTAGAGTATAATTTGATAACGATATCGTAATATATCAATAACAATAGCTGTGACAAGTCTGACGAATCCCTGCGAACCTTCACCCTGTGGACCAAACAGTAAGTGCGCCAATGTGAATGGCCAAGCCACTTGTTCTTGCCTTCCCGATTTCAAAGGCACACCACCAGGATGTAGGCCAGAGTGTGTTGTTAGCACAGAATGTGCTAGCAATAGAGCTTGTGTGAATCAGAAGTGCGTTGACCCTTGCCCTGGAGTTTGTGGGATAAGCGCGAGATGCGAGGTTTTCCATCACAGTCCGATTTGTAGCTGCGATCCTCGTCAGACGGGAGATCCGTTTGTAAAGTGTTTCGATGTGACCAGTAAGTGGCTGAGAATAGTACCGTGAGATTATATTCGTTAAATCACGACCGAATTCTTGAATTTACGCTCCGTGTTTTAGCACCAAGTCCACCTGTGCCTGTAAACCCATGCGTTCCATCGCCCTGCGGCCCATTCTCTCAATGTCAAGACATAGGAGGCATTCCATCCTGCTCCTGTTTGCCCAATTACGTTGGCTCGGCCCCCAACTGTCGACCAGAATGTTCGATTAATTCAGACTGTACCAGTGACAAGGCTTGCATCAGAGAAAAGTGTAGAGACCCGTGTCCAGGATCCTGTGGAACGAACGCATATTGCAATGTGATTAATCATACACCTGTTTGCACTTGTCCTACAGATTACACGGGAGACCCCTTCACCAGTTGCCGCCTAACACCCACACGTAAGGATTATTGTTGATTATTCCATGTACAATGGCTCACGAAAGTATCTGTCCACTATGAGTGTTCGAATATTTTCACGAGTAATGTTGTATTTAGTAAGATGAAAGTAGCTGCAGATTTTCGTGTGATGAATAATTAATCGGTTTTATTGCGACAAATATAGCTGTACTCCCAGTCTCACCAGACCCGTGCAATCCATCGCCTTGCGGTCCGAACGCGCTATGTCGAAATGGCGTGTGCAGCTGCATAAGCGAATATCGTGGTGATCCGTATCAAGGTTGTCGACCAGAATGCGTGCAGAATTCCGATTGCACGTTTGATAGAGCTTGCTCCAACAATAAATGCGTGGACCCTTGCACTGGAATCTGTGGACAGAACGCTGAGTGCGTTGTGGTGAACCATATTCCCACTTGTAGTTGCGTTGAGAATCACGAAGGAGATCCATTTACCCTCTGCAGACCTATTAGAAGTGAGTGCAGAATTAATTAGCTGTAAAGAAAAGTTTGAAGAATCTTATTAGCCCTCGAATAGTTTTGATCAATTAGAGAGAAAAATTAAAAAGTATCCCATTGAAGAAACTACGAAAATCCCAATAACCGTTAGTTAATTTTAATAAATCCTGAAAAGAGTGAGAAATGCCATGAACCATTGATTAATAAATGATTTTACGTGTCACATTACAATAGAACGCGTGAAACCCTGCGAACCTTCACCCTGTGGACCTAACAGCGTTTGCCGCGAGTTTGGCGAACAAGCTTCTTGTTCCTGTCTCTCTGGATATTTTGGAACTCCACCCAGCTGTAGACCCGAATGTTTGGTGAACTCTGACTGCGAACAGAGCAGAGCTTGCGTGAACGAACGCTGTCAGAACCCGTGTGAAAACGTGTGCGGTCAAGGCGCGTTGTGTAACGTACGAAACCATAATCCCATTTGCAGTTGCCCCGCACAGTATTCCGGTGATCCATTCGTCAGCTGTTTCCCCATGAGTAAGTAACCCATCAATGTGTATTTGGATCGGTGCTGTCTTTAAAATCCTCCACAGAAACACTACTACCTCCAATTACCTGTTGTTTAATTATTTCCCTTTAAATGATCGATTATTCAGTTATTCTTCTTCACACTCTACTGTTACCAGTTATTACTGTTACCAATTATCGATCTTATTATAAAGTTATTTTCCAAAACAAAACCAATCAATTTCTAAAATAAAGAATAAATCCTAAGATTGTATACTACAATAAATCCCATACAGCACCGATTTCTATATGAAAAGTTTCCACCTATAAGATCCATCAAAGCGATTGTTAACCGAGGACAAATTTTTATCAACGAACAGAACCGCAGTACGAAGAACCCAGCCAGGACCCATGCAAACCCTCGCCATGTGGACCAAACTCCCAATGCACAGTATCACCAGACAATAAAGCCTCCTGCGCCTGTATGCCTGAATTTGTAGGCTCTCCTCCCAATTGTAGGCCAGAATGTCTCGTGAACAGCGAATGTCCCAGCAATCAAGCTTGCGTTAGACAGAAGTGTACCGATCCCTGTACAGGACTCTGCGGCACTGACGCTCTCTGCCAAGTTACCCTGCATTACATCCGTTGCGTGTGTCCCGAGGGATACACTGGAAATCCATTCGCTATTTGTTCCGTGGCCAGCAGTAAGCAATAATCCCGTGAATAAAAAATAATCGAATCGAGCAACTTTATCGAGCAATCAAGAATGAGAGACGAAATCTCGCGACTTTTCATTCAAGATATCTTAAATTATGTTCCTTTAACGAATACTTATTACTTTATTATTCATCGTTCTTAATGATTTTATTGGATTTTACTTAGTTTGTATATAGTGTATATAGAGATTGTACGATGTAGAAAGAATTGCATGTTGACTATACGCAGGTATTATTAGTCCTGTATCAAGATCTCGAAGCTTTGCCCATACACGTTCTTCATTCTCTCTTATTCTTTTCACGATCTTTGTTTAAATCATTTGCCATGTCTATCCGCGTTCTTGTACAGTTCTATGTTCTTGTAAAATAACTCTTTCACGATCACGCAAATTCTTTCTTGTAAAGTACTAACTGACGTATTACTTTAAATGGTTTATTAATTTCTTTGTGTCCAAATTTTATTACAGCGCCTGTAGAACCACCGACACCTTCGAGACCGTGCAATCCTTCACCATGTGGAACTAACGCGTATTGTCGTGAGAGACACAATACTGCGTATTGCGAGTGTCTGCCAGATTTCAGAGGAAATCCGTATGAAGGCTGTCAACCAGAGTGTTTGGTGAACACTGACTGCCCGAAATCCCAAGCTTGTATTCGAACCAAGTGTCAAGATCCTTGTCCCGGTACTTGTGGCGTTGGAGCCATTTGTACTGTGTCCAATCATATTCCAATTTGTTCCTGTCCTTTACCTACTATCGGAGACGCGTTCACCATTTGCCATGCTGTTCCTCAAGGTATCTTATTCTTACACGCATATCCTACTTTTTCTTTTCTTTTGAGCTTAACAATTTTTTTAGCAGCGATTATTATTTAGGATGTATTAACAATTCGTTGATAGCGTAGATAGTGTAAAGTTGTGAGAACACAATGCTACTGAACAATTAAACAAATAAAACAGCTTGGACTTTGTTGAGACGTGAGAGATAATAGAATAATGTAGATACTTTATCGAAGCTCACTACGCAAGCTTTTCGTTCTTCGTCCGAATCGTTGTGAATACATAAAATTATTTTGCTTACAGTACCAAAGGACAGAGATCCTTGCTCACCATCTCCATGTGGACCTAACACAATCTGCCAAAAGATCGGCGACTCGGCAGTCTGCAAGTGTTTGCCCGGCCTTCAAGGAGTTCCTTCGAGTGTCACAGGCTGTCATCCAGAGTGTGTGATCAGCTCTGATTGTCCAGGAGACAAGGCTTGCATCAGCAACAAATGCATAAATCCTTGCACGCAAAACGTGTGTGGTATCAAGGCTACATGTCAAGCTATCAATCACAGTCCCCTCTGCAGTTGTACATCTCCGTTGATCGGCAATCCATTCGAAGAATGTTACACCAAAATTGGTAATTTCGAGATTCTCAAACCGTCTTGTTCTATTTTAATTACTCGCCAATTTTTATTGATTTAATAGTAATAGGAAAGAATAATAGAGATAATGTAATAATAAAACGAGTTAATCGTTTACGAAAATAATTTTCGAATCGATTGAACGAAGATTGATTTATTTGTTTCAGAAACCGATCCTTGTAATCCATCTCCGTGCGGCTATAACGGCGAATGTCAAGTTAGAAACGGCGTTGGAGTGTGCATTTATCCGGAATGTGTCATTAATTCCGACTGTCCACGAGACAAGGCTTGCTTCGCCCAGAAATGCAGAGACCCTTGCATCGGTGCTTGTGGTATTAATTCACTGTGTCAGACGGTCAACCACAAGCCTGTCTGCTCCTGTCCGTATGGATTTACTGGCAACGCTCGCATACAGTGCACCGTTCTAACAGTCGAAGGTGATTTTTTCAAATATTATCAACAGATTACAAAAAAGATCTTAAGATTATTAATGAAAAGAAAAAGGAGGAAATTATAACATTTACCTTCAATGTACTTTCGCAGAACCAACTGTAGAGTGCACTCAGAACTCCGAATGTCCGAACGACAAGACTTGTTACAATCAAAAATGCGTCGATCCTTGCACACTGGATTCCTGTGGCTTCAACAGTCGTTGTCACGTACAAATGCATCGAGCTGTCTGCGTCTGCAACGAAGGCTTCACTGGCAATCCTCAACAATACTGCGGCGAAAGTACGTTCTCCAAATATCTTTTCACGCGAGTCGATTTTCTCTCTATATTGTTATACGTACTACACATTCCGTAAGAAAACATAATATAGAATGGTACGAAATGATATTTCTAGTATAATATACCTGTTATATTTTTGCAGTTGGTTGTCGCGGTGACAGCGACTGTCCGTTGACTCAATCTTGCATCAACAACGAGTGCATAGACGCTTGCTCTGTGACACAGTGCGGTGTGAATGCATTCTGCAGATCCGATGGATACCATAGACCAAGATGCTACTGTTCTGATGGATACATAGGAAATCCGTACCAAACATGCGAGAGACCAGAGTGCGTTAGTGACAACGACTGTCCATCGTCTTTAGCCTGTCGCGATTCAAAATGTGTAAATCCTTGCGATTGTCCACCATCAGCGCAATGTTTCGTGATTAATCATCGTCCTATTTGTCGATGCCCTCCGGGTTACGTGGGTAATCCATATACCTCGTGTCTAATGGGTAATTAGAATGTCTCTATTCCTATTTTTCTTAACTCTTTCATGGCCGTGTTTAGTTTTATTTGGAATGGATCAATAAACGAAAAATTTGTCGGTTTGCTTTAGAACCGATCGAACCACAGCCACAGTGTCAAGTAGATGGAGACTGTCCCAGCAAACTGGGCTGTTTCAATGGCGTTTGTAAAGATCCGTGTGTCGAAACCAAACCTTGCATCGCTGGGGCGAAGTGTACCGTCGTAGACACTTTACCAATGAGAACCATGGTCTGCGAATGTTTGCAAAACTTTGCTGGAGACGCGACCGTCGCTTGTATTCCCGGTAAGTGTCAAATAATCTTTTGATCGCGTAATAAAATGACGAAGAATTCAGAATGAACGATTTAGAGAATAATCGCTCTTCGTCAAAAAAAGTACGTATTTTCGACATTTCGTAAAAAATAACACGGCTTGAATTTGATTTATGATTACTATCTGTGAAGCAGTTGCGTATTAATGTGTAATTAATCTAATTTTGTTCTTTTTCTCTAGTGGACAAGAAGATCGAAGCCATTTGTAAATCCGACACTCAATGCTCTTCAAACATGGCCTGTCTGAACGAAAGATGTATCAATCCGTGCATTATCAATCCATGTGCTTCAAATGCAGAGTGCTCTGTCCAAAATCATTATCGACAGTGTCATTGCTCGCGTGGCACCGCAGGCGACCCATTCGTAAATTGTTATAGAGGTAATTAGTTGAAACTAACATAAAATAGAAGATGAACAATGAGTATTGGCTTTTAAGGAGGACTGACTGAAACAAACGTTTTAATTTTATTCTAGACACTGACTCGTTCCCGGAGTGTACAACGAACGCAGATTGCGCAACCAACGAGGCTTGCATTAGCCAGCTATGTCAGAGTCCATGTGTCAGCACGCAATGTGGTTTGAACGCGGAATGTATCACTGTCAATCATCATCCGACCTGTCGCTGCCAGCAGAACTACGCGGGAGATCCTCAAGTGCAATGTTTCAAGCGTAAGTTTGTTACAAGACGTTTCATTCTCCAGAGATAAAACTTAATATACGAAGAAATGTTTGATGTCAAATTTATTTTTGTTAGTTTTGCGTCCCTCTATCTCGAATTCTCTTATATATTTCAACATGAGACATCTGTTTCAAATTTTCCAGTACATCTCCAAAAGCAAAAACGTGCTGGTCCAATTTGCATCACGCTTTATACTTCAAAGTTTTGAGCTTTGCAATTCTACGCTTCAACATTTTTTAAACTATATCTTTGAACTAACTTTGAAAGATAATGGAAAAATTTTCTTTCTTTCTAGCCGAGTGTAAGTCAGATAGCGATTGTCCTTACGACAAGACCTGTCTGCGCGACAATTGTGTCACCCCTTGCCTGGTCGAAGATATCGCGTGCGGTCGTGGCGCAGAATGTATCGCGGTCTCTCACAGGGCGCAATGCGTCTGTCCACGAGGTACCCAAGGCGACCCAAGAATCGCCTGTATTTCCACAGTGTGCCATTACAACGAGGATTGCGCAGATCACGAAGCCTGCGACAGGCTGAACAGAGTCTGTCGACCAGTTTGCGAGGACGATACTTGTGCGGATACTGCGAAATGCGTCGCGAGAGATCATCAGCCTAAGTGCACTTGTCCTCTGGGAACTACTGGAAATCCATACGTTGAGTGCAGTGGTAAGTTGAGTTTTCTTTCACGTTGTTAACATTGATTTAATTAAACCTTGACATTGGTGCAGTTAACGTACAGCATACTATAGAGCATCTTCGGTGAAGAATCGAAACTAAAAATAATTCTCTTGTTCTCCAAGGTGTGCCAATTGAAGCAGAGTGCAAAGAAGACAGCGAATGTCCAGCATATTACGCATGCATCAACTCAAAATGCCAAGATCCTTGCTTATCCTCTAACATGTGCTCTGGTGAACAAGAATGCAAAGTACTGAACACGGTGCCTCTTCGTACGATGATCTGCACTTGCCCTGCAAACACTATCACCGACGTAAATGGACTGTGCAAGGAAATCGGTAAACATTACTTCAAACAATCATTATATTATATTCTTTATAATCTTATACTGTTAGTAGACATACACATATAGTACATACTGTTAGTAGACATTTACATATATCATTTGAAAGTACATCATTTTGTTACAATATGAATTTTATTTTCAACATTAGGAGTCCTGCAGTGCCACCAAGATCAGGACTGCAACGATTCTGACAAGTGTGTGGGTGGAACTTGCATCGAGGCATGTCTGACCACTCAGTGTGGAGTGAATGCCCAATGTGTGGCAACTGGAATCTGTCATTGCGCGCCTGGATTTACTGGCAACCCTTACATCGAGTGCGGTAGACGTAAGTTTTCAATATTTTTATAATATCCAATATAGTAGCTAAATAATAAATAAATATAATAATTCACAGTTCAACATTATATTGTACATTCGTATGCTGAAAATTGTTCATTTTTCCATTCCAGTTCCAATACCACTGCCACCAGTTCGTCCAGAATGCTACGCTAACAGCGAATGCTCCGACGACAAACGGTGCATAAATTCTCTCTGCGTGAATCCTTGCGTTGTCAAGGACCCATGCGGCAAAAATGCACTATGTCACGCGAACAATCACAATCCAGTCTGTAGATGTCCTGCCAACTACATTGGTGATCCAAGAAGCAACTGTGTTCCACGTAAGTGTTGCACTTGAGAAAATTAATATGCCTATACGAATAACAAAATCGATATATCACCCTGTTCGCAAATGATTTACGATGTATATTTATTTATTTTATAGCGGAAATTGTGGCCGAATGTACTTCCAACAGCGATTGCGCGGGTAACGCTGCCTGTGTAAACAACTTGTGCATCAATCCTTGCAATTGCGGTCCGAACGCCAAGTGCAACGTCGTAGATCATTATCCATCCTGTGTCTGTCCGCCTGGTTATTCTGGAAATCCTCAACTAGGTTGCTTCAAATGTAAGTTAACAAATTCTGAAAAAAAAATTCGATCTAATTAAGCTTCTCAATTTCACAAAATTCCATAAAATTTATAGGAAAATAATCCAATTAATTGAGCTTCGCAACTTTACAAAATCTTTCTTTTCTTCAGTGGACTGTGAATCGGACAGTGAATGCAACAGCGCAGCAACGTGCTACAATGGTCAATGCGTGAATCCTTGCATCCTGGAGAACAAGTGTGCGATAAACGCAGAATGTTACGGGCAAAACCATCGAGCCATTTGTCGTTGCGGTCCAGGTTATCTAGGCAATCCGGAAGTGCATTGTGAAAGAGTGGAGTGCAGCGCTGACCACGATTGTCCTCGAAATTTAGCCTGCGACAGCGGACGCTGCGTTAATCCTTGTCTAGAAGATTCACCATGTGCTCAAAACGCAATCTGCTACATTCAGGACCACGTGGCCACCTGCCGTTGTCCAGAGAATATTCCTGCTGGAAATCCATATTCCTATTGTACACATCATCCCACGACAACATTCGACGAACCAGAATGTAGAATCGATATTGATTGCGCTGACAAATTGGTGTGCATTAAAAATAAGTGTATCGACCCCTGTCCAGTGATCAAACCATGTCTGCAGAATGCACGTTGCAACGTTTTGGACACTGTGCCCGTGAGGACCATGACGTGCACGTGTCCCGAAGGTTGGACGACTGACGTTGACGGCGTTTGTAGACCAAGTAAGTAACTCCAAGGTTAAAATCACAGACTTTCTTGATTTAACTTTGCATTTTTCTACAAATATTTTATTTTCCAGTTCAAATAGCAATAATCGGCACTTGCACGACGAACGACGAGTGCAGCGACACAGAGTCCTGCATCAACAGACAATGCAGGAACCCTTGTAACTGCGGTACCAACGCTGCGTGCACCGTACGAAACCACAAACCGATCTGCTCTTGCGAAGAAGGCTACCAAGGCAACCCGGATATCGCTTGCTATTCCGTAGAGTGCACGCGCGACAGCGAATGTGCTCTAGACAAGAGTTGCGTGAACAACAACTGCGTGAATCCTTGCCTAATCTCCGATAATTGTGGAGTGAACGCAGAATGCTTCCCCAACAACCATAAAGCCGACTGTCGATGCCGTAACGGTTATCATGGAAATCCTTTGGATCGATGCAGAGTAATCGGTTGCTACAGCAATGGCGACTGTCCTGGAGACCATTCCTGTATCAATATGCAGTGCATCAATCCTTGCGTTCATAGCAATCCTTGCTCGTCTAGAGCCGAATGCAGAGTCTTTAATCATCTACCCATTTGTCGTTGCCCACCTCATCACACAGGCAATCCTTACATCGCTTGTAAACCGGAAGAAAGACCAGAGTGTAAAGAGGACAGTGATTGTCCTAATTTGTTGGCCTGCTTTGATAATAAATGCCAGAATCCTTGCACTGTCGTGCAACCCTGCAGCGATCCATCGGAATGCAAAGTCCTTCCGACGTCCCCGGTTCGAACGATGGTCTGTGTGTGTCCTAGTGGATACGTGAGCAGCGGCAGCGGAACTTGTAGACCCACGAAACCGATTTTGGAGATTGAATGTACTAACGATAGCGACTGTCCTTCAGAAAAGTCCTGTGTTAACGCGGTGTGCAAGAATCCTTGTGCCTGCGGCCCCAATGCGAAGTGTAGCGTTGCAAATCACAAACCAATTTGCTCTTGTGTTCTGGGATACGATGGAAATCCTGACTTGGTTTGCACTAAAGGTAAGACTGTGCTTCTGTTATTAACCATTTTTCTCGGAGGCGAAAGATGTCGATTTTGGAAAGACTAAGCTGTAAAGACAGAAAGCTGTTCTATTATCATATACATATAGACTGCGGATGTTTATGTAAAATCAGATTTTTATGAATGAAACCTAAACATTGGAACCTAAGTAGAGGTTTATCTTATAAAAATTTGATAAAAATTTAACTTTTTAAGACAAATTTGTCTGAAAATCAATGTAATTTAATTTTCAGTCGCCGGATGCCGCACAGATGGTGACTGCAGCGGATCACACGCGTGTGTCCAGCACAACTGTGTCCCAGTCTGTTCTCCATTAATCACCACCTGCGGAAAAGACGCTCAGTGCAATGGTATCAACCACAAAGCTATCTGCGAGTGTCCACCAGGATATGGAGGCAATCCTAGAGTTTCCTGTGTCCTTCTTGGTTGCAAAAGTAACTCTGATTGTCCCACGAACAAAGCTTGCATTAACGAGCGCTGCGAGAATCCTTGTGGGATAAATCCTTGCACCGGAAACATGGATTGCAACGTCTATAACCATGTAGTCGAGTGTGCTTGTCCTCCCGGTTACATCGGAGATACTAAAGTGGGATGTACTAAACGTAAGAGTGATTCGATTTTTATAATACTATAGGTATTAACTTTTTGTTATTTTTTCTTATCGTTGTTTCTTAATACTCAGTGACAGAGAAATGCAAGGCGGATAACGAATGTCCATCTCAGACCGCCTGTTTCAATGGCGAGTGCATCAATCCTTGCGTGAAGATCGAACCTTGTGGAATAAACGCGGATTGTAAAGTACTCGACACGTCTCCTGTAAGAACTATGATCTGTGAATGTATTCCCGGATATAGAGGAAACGCAGTCGTCCGCTGTGACAAAAGTAATTTCTTGCTTTATATCAAACGACTTGTAGCGAAAAATGATCGAACAATTTATAAAATAGTTTTTAAATGAATCTGCTTTATCTTACAGCCAACGTATGTCCAGTAGCAAAGGGTCAAATTGTCGATGAGTATGGCAATTGTGTATGTCCACCAGGATCAGCTAAGGATGAAACAGAAGTTTGTATACCGTGTAGGAAACAATCTGGAATGATCATCAACGATGAAGGATACTGTGTGTGTGCTTTGGAAAACGGTATGATCATCGATGAATATGGTCGCTGCGTGTGTCCGATTCATCATGGATACAGACTGGACGCGAATGGATATTGCAAATTGGGTATGAAAAGAATGTTATATAATAAATATTATTTTGATAAATATTCCTGCTTACCTAAATTTTGTTTAATTAATGAAACGTATTTGTAGTTGACATAATCGAGTGCAAACACGACGATGACTGTGCTGATAACAGATTCTGCGATAAAACCAGCCAAACATGTGAAGATCCTTGTTCAACTCAATTATGTGGTCTTTATGCACTATGTAATGCAACTCGTCATCAAGCTATTTGCATATGCATCAATGGTTATATTGGAAATGCTTATACTCAATGCTGTAAGCAATTGTTCTTCCGAGAGACTCCTATTGTTGTCATATTTGTTATTCAAATTATTAATAAGATCTTCCCTTGTTAGATGACAAGAACCGATGGCGAACCGATTTCCCCAGACCAGAGATGGTTGTTAGCTGTTTGTCGGATGGAGTGCAAGTCGAAATACATCTTCACGATCAGGAATTCGATGGTGTTCTATATGTCAAAGGTCACAGCAAAGATGAGCAGTGCAGGAGGGTTGTCTCCATTCCAGCAGAAACTATGCACAAAACCGAGATATTCAAGGTGGCGTTTGGAAATTGCGGACTGATACACGTAAACGTAAGTTATTCTTATGTAAATTTATTAATTGTATTACCAGTATATATATTATTTTTATTATATTCTTTGTTTCAAAATGTTATATGTACAAAATGATTATTTTCAGGGACAAGCAAGTTTCGTACTGGTCATACAAAAGCATCCGAAATTGATGACATACAAGACTCAAGCATACCATATCAAATGCATATACCAAACTGGAGAACAAAACGTTACCCTGGGTTTCAATGTCTCCATGTTGACTACAGCTGGCACCATTGCTAACACTGGTCCTCCGCCGGTCTGTCTGATGAAGATCGTTACTCAAAGCGGAAATGAAATAAACTCTGCTGAAATTGGAGATAATTTGATGTTGCAAGTCGAAGTTCAGCCTTCAAGTAAGTATATGGCTTATAATTAAAGAAAAAAAAATCGTGAACCTTATATTTCTTATAATTATATAATAATTTTATCATTTTAGCTATTTATGGTGGATTTGCCCGAAATTGTGTGGCCAAAACGATGGAAGATAATTTGGAGAACGAGTACATTGTAACAGATGAGAATGGCTGCGCGACGGATCCGACGATATTCGGAGAATGGGAACAAGATCCTGAAACTCAGACGTTAATGGCCAGCTTCAATGCTTTTAAATTCCCAAGCAGTGACAATATTCGATTCCAGTGCAATATCCGTGTGTGCTTTGGACGTTGTCAACCCGTGAGTATCCTTCTACTATTAATATTACCATCTACTATATAATATTAAGGTTTTAATTAAGATATTAAAATATTATTATGACCCTTTTAGGTCAATTGTCGAGGATACAACGCGTTCGGTCGTCGCCGTCGAGACGTGAGTTCCGAGACAAATGATACGTCTTTAAGCATCACGGACAGCTTTGAAGGACAACTTAGAGAAGAAATAACGATCCAGTCGAATCTGATATTCACTCTGGAGAGGAGAGAAGAGAGGTTTACGGCAGATCCAGCTGAGAGTAAGTCCATATCCTTTTTCTTCTTCAGTTAGAGAAGAATCTTAATTTCTAGAAAAGGTCAATTCTGACTCTTGCAGCTTGTTCAGTTGACTTTTCACTTTGTCGCTTTAACGCTGAACGAGAATTAAAATATACTTTATTATTACAATACAATCTTTTTTTCCTGTTTCAGTCACCTCAGCTCAAAGAGTAGAAGATATTTGCGTTTCTACGGTCGGCTTTGTGATAGCACTAGTAATTACAGCACTCTTGGCACTAGTCGCTGTAGCTATTGCTGTGTCGTGCTGGCTAATGGCGTATCGTCGTCAGCCAAAGACTGCTGGACCACTGCCACACCCACCAGAGTTCCCAAATCCACTGTTCACTACTGAGTCCGTAGCTGAACCGTCTCCTGATTATCACCTATCATAAGTACTCTAGGATAATTATTTTTTTGTAACGTAATTTTATAATTCTCAATGGAATGCAGTACAGACCACATCACATTTTTTTTTCTCGCTGGTCGGTCTTGTATTTCTTTCAACGACTCCTCCAGTGACTAGACTCTTCCGTTATCTTCCTCTCGGGGGTTCATACCGAGCGTGTTGTACGTTCATTGTTACATACGAGTACCCTGAATCAAGTTATACATAAATATACATAGATAGTTAGATCAGAGCGCGTGCGAGAGAGAAACGTTTACTATTTATGGTGATGGTTAGCTTCCATTATCTACACAATAGAACTTTGTCTTCCGACGTATTCTCTTGTCTTCTGTACCTTTGCTCTTCTCTTCCTGTAGTCACTGGAGGATTTGTTAAGCATGATACAGCGAATTTAATTCCCGTGTAAAGTCGAACGAATTAGTCTAATATAGCTTTCTTACTTCGTGCGTAGGTAACTGTACATTTTATCTAATAAAATGCTAATGTAATATTTTTAAAATAATCTGGTTCATTATACCATATTCCTTAATACCTACTCAGTCCGGAAAACAGATGAAAACGAACACATCGAAACGTGTAAGTAACAAGCTGTTCAAAAATTGCCATACATTTTTATTCCAATTATATATTTCTGCTAAATATACATAATTTACAAAAAATGTACGATACCTAATACATATATATGTATACGTATGAGTTCAGTTCATACGTTTTTTAATAAATAGATGTAATATTAACAATCGTAATACTGTTAAATGATTCTAATCATTTTTAAACTCAATAATTTAATTATAATTAACATTCGATTTGAGAATAACAATTTGGCGTGAGTGTTTATAACAAGTGATTGAATTTTAAGCGTTAGAAATTTATTAAAAGATAGAGTATTTGAAATGAAAATATGAAAGAAAAACACACGTTATCTAATGTTTTAGTCTTGAAAATGCTTATAATATCAAAACATTTGCGTTGTTAAGTCGTTTTGTGTGTTCAGTTGTAGCATGGTACTGAACTGTATGTTTAAGAATCATTTTCAATATATTTATTTATAACTTTATTTGCGCATAAGACTGTCGTGTAGTTTAATTATCCTTTGATAACTGCAATTGGCCTTAATTTTATACATTTCCGGGAAATACCTGCAGCATGGCACGTATCCACAACATCTGTCACATTTTTGTAAGACTCCGGTGCTTCTTCCATAACTAACTTAGGCGAAGCGACTCTAATCGATATTCCTTGTCGTTCTAATTTTTCTAATACATCTGTGTAGTCCAAGTTTCTGCGTGACTTGGCTCTAGATAAAGCTCGACCCTAAAGGCAATTTTGATTTAATTTAGGTATCATTGGATAATTTTATAAATAAAAAACGTTCAGAAATACTTACTGCTCCATGACACGTGGATCCAAATGTTTCTTTCATAGCTTGATCAGTTCCAGTAAGAACGTAGCTACAAGTTCCCATAGTACCACCAATTAAAACAGGTTGACCTGTTAATTGATAGTCTACAGGAATCAGAGGATGGTGAGGTGGAAATGCTCTTGTAGATCCCTATGAACAATATAGTAATTATGTAAACATCCTTCAATATAGTTAGTAGCAATTTACTTTCATTTCATTTACCTTCCTATGCACTAGAAGGGTTTTCTGCTTTCCGTCGACCATATGTTCTTCTATTTTTGCAATATTATGGGAGACATCATATATAACATGCATGTCTAAATCATCGGGAGATTGTCGGAACTGTTTGGCAAATGCTTGTCGACTGAGGAATGTCATAGAGCTCCTATTGACCCATGCAAAATTGGCAGCTGCAGCCATAGCTTTTAGATAATCTTGACCTTCTTGAGATTTTATATGAGCGCAAGCTAACTGCCTATCGTTAGTTTCGATATTGTCTCGTTTCATGGCCTTTTCCATTTGTACAAGTGCATCTGTACTACATAAAAAATTTAATATACACTGCTTTCTAAAAATGGATTTATTACGTATCTATTACCAGTTGCAACTTGGTGTCCAAATCCTCTGCTACCAGAATGAATCATCACACAAATTTGACCCTTTTCTTCAATACCCATTTTACATGCTGCCCATTTGTCGTAAATTTGATCTACTACTTGAATCTCTGCATAGTGGTTTCCTGCACCTAATGTTCCTAGCTGTAAAATAAATTGTTGTAGTAGTTGTAGTAATCAAGAATTCTTAAATATTTATTTCTATAAATTCTCCTAATACCTTACCTGTGGAAGCCCACGTTTCTTAGCCCTCATTGATACCTTAGAAGAATCTGCATTAAGCATTCTACCATATTCTTCACAATGTTCTTTATCCTCTGCCCAGATATAACCTTCTCTGAGAGACCAATCCATTCCCATTTCTAAGGCTTCTTCTAAATCACGTGCGTTCATGGGTATGATTCCTTTTGAACCAACACCAACAGGAATGTGATCAAACATGCTCTGGGCAAGTTGTTCCTAAAAACAACTACTGGTTTATTTTTTTTTCCTATGACATAATTTCATTAAAACATAACTGATAGAAAATAATACCTTCACAGGTAGAACATCTTCTTCGAACAAGTTAGTTCTTAATAGACGTACTCCACAATTTATGTCAAATCCGACTCCACCAGGTGATACTATAGATTTTGGGTCATTCATATCAAATGCTGCCATGTTACCAATTGCAAAACCATATCCAGAATGTACATCAGGCAATCCAACCGACTTCCAAACAATACCAGGAAGAGCAGCAACATTGGCAATCTGTTTCATACCTGGGAGAAACCCACCCACTGCTCCTGGTCTGCATGCATTTTTTAACTCATCAAACATTAACCGTTCTAACGTGTTATTTACATAAAAAACACCTTCAACCTATGAATAAAGAAATATTTAATACACATGAGAAGATAAAATACGATTAACAAATTACCTTCATATTAGGTTGAAAACCCTTCTTTATCCTCCAACATGTTTCAGTTATCTTTTCTAAGTATTTTAATTCTTCTTGATACTGCCTAACTACCATTTTTTATTATAATAAAGTACTTTTTAAAAATATATTAATTATCTCTAGTTTGGAGTACAGATTATATTTTAAAACGAAATATGATTTCTTATAATTGTTTAGAGATAATATCTTTCAATTAATATTATAAAGAAGTAACACTATAGAACCGAACACACTTTTTTTATATTTATTATCGATTATAAATACAAAATTTTTATTGACAGATTAATGTAACGATACAAGCAAGCAAAATCGTGCAACCGGGTAAAATGATTGCGCCATATAAATCTAACGATGTCAGTGTCGCAAACTTATATAGTTTCTAGAAAATTGATATCCCTTCCCTTATTTAAAATTCATTTTCAACAGTACACATTTAATATATGAGTAACTAGATTCCTAATCTTTGTATTTTTATGCAATATGAACTTTCTGACATGATTTTGATAATCTAAAAGGAAATAATAATAAAGATATTATAAGAAGATATTATATTATAAGAAGTATAAAAACGAATTACTGTTAATAAGAAAGAAATATCTTATTCTTATTTTGAATTATACAACATTCTTATACGGTGTTCTTATATAGTATTAACGAGGAAATATTAATCGGAAATGTTGGTATCATATGTGATCTGAATACAGATCAAAACATACATAAGTACGTATGTGAAGTGCAAAAATGGCTAATCGTGTGGAATTAGGTTTAAGACAAGTAAAACCAATTTTGTCACTAAGTCATATAGATGCTCATAGAAGAGTAATAACATTATATAAAACATGGTATCGCCAAATTCCATTTATCTGTAAGTACTTTAATCATTGTATGTTTTTGAAAATCATGAAGATGTGTTACCTAACCTAAATATTTAAAATAGTATATGGATATATGTATTTCAAATTTATTTCTTTTTTGTACAAAATAGAATGTATTAATTTTCGTCCTAGTTTATTTGAACTTCACTAAAAATAATTTGCCATCTGTTATTATTTCCATTACAAAATTGTCAGATTTATATATTTATGTATGTATAACTAATTTACTTCATAGTGTCAAACTATGATCTTCCGGTAACAAAAGAAGATTGTGTAGCAAAGTTACGGGAAGAATTTAAACGTCATGCCAATGTAAAGGATGTAAGAGTGATCGATATATTACTTATTAAGGTAAGCCTAATATGTATCCTGTTTATTTCATATATACTGCAACAGATATATTAATAACTATATTATATTAGGGACAAATGGAACTTCAAGAAACTTGCGCTCAATGGAAACCAGCTGCAATATTAATGAATTATTGGAAAGTAACTCAGGAACCAAAGCCAAAGGACTTCTTATCCAAGTTCATTTCGGGTCATGATTAAAATATTTAATTGTACAATATATAAGTTATTGTAGTATAATTAAATGTATACAATTTTTGAGCTATATAAAAAGAATGTATATGATATTTCAGTATGTAGTATTGTTATTATTTGAGAAATAAATATGTTAGAAAGGAAAAAACGTATTTTTCTATTAAAAATTGGAGTTATACAACATTTCAAAAGATGAATCTTTAATCAGCTCTTACAGAAGATAATATTTCTTTTAATTTACATTTTATTTTTACATCTATATATTATTATTCACTTATATACATTTGACAAGATGATATATTACTAAGCACCTTAGGTACAATCTAGTTCACTTTTCACAGCCATACGGATAATTTGCTTTCCTTCAGTGAACAAGTATCGAAATTGTACATACATACATATATATACATACATACATATGTTTGAAACGAGTGTATTCGAACTTGCGTAAATGTACATTTTCAACTATGCACGTTCTTCTTTCTGTTTGTATTAGAATGGGAATCATTTGTGCTACGTCAAGACAGACTCTTTTACATGATTTCTGTACTTGTGTATACTTTGGTTAGAATCATTTTTATAAGTCATTCTAGTTTTATTATATTCTCGGATTAAAAATTTTAACAGATAAATCTCGTACTATGTAAAAAAAAAACGTGTTTGTCGCCAATATAAAGCGTACTTTAATACAAGTCATAAAATATCTAGGTATTAAAAATATACACGGTCGGTAACTTTTATACCCACACATTCCACATATCTATACGCTAAAAAGATGGCAACAATACATCATGCTTATGACTCATAAATGTAAGAATGTTTTTGTGCACTCATACGTTTTATAGTAGAAGATTCCATGTTCGAATTCCCTTCATTCTTTCTCTCGACTACAAAATCAATTTTCTATCAAACTATACTTTCACGTTCCGACTGTATATCGTAACCTGCTATTACACCCCTTCTTAAGGAAACATCGCTGTTGCGTAATCCATTGCTATTGAATAAATTTACCAACCAACTTCTGATCGAATTTCTTGCGGAAGATTTTTTATCAGGCACACTGTCTGTACTAGGAACGGATACCACTTGATCGAGAGAACGCCAACGTTTAACAGGCATAATTTCTCCCATACAACCACTCTCATCTCCTAGTAATGGTGTCTCTGCTTCGTTCGGCGACTCGTCCGTATGGGGCACTATTATTACATTACCATTCGGATAGTTGTTATTCAACACTTTCTCAGAAATATTCGTCTTCGAGTTAGTCCGTGTGCACTTTTCACAATTCTCTAGCGATCGAAAACTTTTCTTCGGTTCCTTCCAAGAGAAATTCGGCGACTCGAACCTCTTATTATAGAGCTCCAATGGGAAAGGGTCTAACGAACGTGACTCCCGTATTATCGTTTGGAACGGATAATCGCTCGTAGAGGACGACGAGGCAATCGTCGACAGAACTCTTGCATTTTTCCTAAATTTCGGCCTCGTGTCGATAAAGAAATCATCGAGTGCTATCTTAATGTTAGCCGCCCGATTTTCAACTCCTTCTTGCAACGCAACGTTATCTAGCGTTGTCTTCGATATGTTATCGGTCAAATACAGAGGAAATCGGTCTAATTTCCGAGAGTTAAGAGGTTTAGGGACTGGACTGGATCCTCCGTACTGAGACGAGGAGTCATCCGGCGTTGGTCTTGGAACGCTCGACTGTCTGCGACTGCCAGCTCCTAGACCGCCTAGCAACGAAGCGTGTCGAGAATCTGAATTTAATTTCGGACTTCTTCTTGGTCTACAAAAGAGTGGTGGAAGATCACCGACGTCAACCTAATTAACATAAAAATCAAGATTATATGACATTGATCTAACAATCTTATTATATTGATTTTTATACAAACCTCTCGTTTTTGAATGGCCTTTTCAGTGGCTCCGATGAGCCAATAAGTTTTTACTTCTCCCTTTCCTTTCATGTAAACCAACCCACGTTCTTCGATTATGTAGCCACCGACCTTATCCAAAGCATCTTTGCACTGCTCGCTTATGTGAATACGCAACGGTTCGCCGTTTGATTCCATACGCGAAGCTGTATTTACGGTATCCCCGAATAAGCAATATCTAGGCATCGTTAAACCAACAACACCAGCCACTACAGGACCTGTAATATTTGTTACGTATATTTATGTCATTTTTATCGCGTTTAATATTTTTTCCCAAGGTACGATACCTGTGTGAATTCCAATGCGCAATTTAAGAGTGTCTTGAGGCCTGTGAGCTATGGTGTGATGTTTCACAGCGTTAAGTAGTTCTAGGGACATCGATGCAATTTCTCCGGCATGTCTGTTTCCATTTTTTATTGGCAAACCAGAAACCTGATAAAAGCGATGTATCGTAGAATTATATAGAATAAAAAAATGTATAGAATTTATAAAAAAAATTTACTTACCACCATATAGGCATCGCCGATCGTTTCCACCTTATATACATCATATCCTTTGATTATGCGGTCAAACAAAGTGTACAAGTCGTTCAAGAAGTTTACGACCTGAAAAACGAAGGAATTATAATAGTAGTCACACAAAGATATATATCTTGTTTCCTTAAAGATTAGTTTAATTGAAAAACATACCTGGAAAGGCGTGCTTTCCGCTGACATTGCAGTGAATCCAACGATATCGCTAAAGTATATAGTAACCAAGTCAAAAGCTTCAGGTTCCACACCGATTCCATTTGTCAAGCAATTTGCAACGGGTCTGTAAGAAACAGACGTGGTATCATTAATGTAGATAGCAAAGTTTTTTTTTTCTTTCTTTTTAATGAAAGAATTTATATAGTTCAACCTACTCCGGCAACATTCGATGAAGTAAATCCTCTGTTTTTTGCTTTTCCTCGAAAAGAAGGCGTGTACGTTCACTGACTAGATCTTCGAGGTTGTTTGCATACTTCTCCATCATGTCCATCATTTGGTCCATGATATTGCGATGCCTTCCCGCTTTCATTTTCTTTAACCGTGTCCTTATCATTTTGAAGTCGGGCCTAAGTTCTGGACTTTCCGCCCAACAGTCGGTAATCGTACTAACTATATACTCAGCACAGTCTGCTTCAGACTCGGACAGTATCTCTATGTTAGGTCTAAACGGCGGTTCACCATCTTCTGGGAACCTTTTCACTCGGTCTATGATTTCTGTCAATTTGTTAACGTTCATATTTATATTTCTGCAGCTATACCTTTTGGCAAATGCCGATTAACGAATGACAATCGTTAACGCTTACGGATTTTTAGCTACGCACGGATATTTACCTTTGGGTTCTAGATTCACGCCACCGTACGGCCCCTTCCGTCCGATCATCTCGAATAATATAATCGCGAACGAGTAAATATCCCCTTCCTGGGTACCTCTGATCGGAGCATTGGGATTCCTTAATAGTTCAGGTGCCTTCCAGAATAAGTCTATGTAGGAGAAATATTTCAATTAGAAATCGAGTCACAAAAATCATTCGAAGGGCAGAAAATCATAATGGTGTAGATCAGTACACGACTATGATTTTCAGTCCGCTAATCGATTGGCGATAGAACAATAAAGTATCGTTATATTTCTTTTTTTCTTTTTTCTTTTCGTACTTCGATAATACTGATGTTCACCAATGCTGTCAGATTCGGCACAATGCCGCATATCGTGCAGGCCAAAATCGGAAACTTGGAGTACCCATCGCGAGGTTACCACGCAATTGGATGACTTCAGATTACCATGACAGACTAGCACAGATGACTCATGAATGTACAGCATACCCTGAAACGGAGCAAACAATATTTTCACAATAGTTTCGCAATCGGTATACATATCATTGATCTGCCGTACGAACACGTATATAGACTTGCCTTAATGAGATCGTGAACTAATGATGCGATGAACATATCGTCTAACTTGATATCTTCGTTCTCGATAATATCCTGAAACACATACGCAATGCGATCATTCGTTGAAAACACCAGCAGACCGGATTACACACGTTCATTCGTGTATTAAGGTGACGTACATAAAGACTTCCTTTGGCGCAATAGTCCGTAATTAACAATATCCTCATTGGCTCGACGCACGCCCCGATGAAAGAGTTCAGGTTACCGTGCCTGATCTCGCGAAGGATACGCATCTCCTTCATCACGTCCCTGGATATGTCCTTCTTCTTTGAGAACTTCAGCTCCTTTATCCTTACTGCTACCCCGTGGTAATGCCCGGTTTGCGCAAACACCTGGCCCCCGCATCTTGACTCGTAGGACATTGCACTAACTAAGCTTAACTGCAACGACAGTTCAATAATAGAAGATGGTGCGACAATTCGAAAAATCATTAGATAAATAAATATGTATATTGAGCGCTAATAGTTAATGATCGCGCCAGCGGTTGTCGTTATAGCGTTCATCTTTTATCTCTAACGTTTACGTATAATAAAGATACGTACGTTCTTTGTCAGACTGTGAATTTTTATGCGTTTAATTAAAATAGAATGAAATAAAAAGTTCAAAGTATATGTGATATGCAAGTATATATAAAATAAAGTACCTACGCAAGTATACAGGGATTAGAAAACGGCAAATGGTATCTCACCTTACTAGGGGAGGACATCATGTTGTCAAGATGAGGGTATCCGTGTATCTCGCTCGGATCGATCTTCCACAGCAGCCCCTCGATTTCCTGTTCTATCTTCCACCTTCGATATATGCTCATAGTGATCACCGCGGCGCAGAACAATAAAACAGCTAGCACTCCAGCGGCCACGATGCTTCGCAGGTGCGTGTCATCTTTGGGACAATGTTCGTTGAGGAAACCGCATCCAGGTTCCGCTTCCGGCTTATTCTTACCCGGCCAGTCCATCGCCTCCGATGGCCTGTACACCTGGACACGATCGATACCCTTGGTATTTTGATAATTTTAAACTTTTTTTAAGTTTTGTCGATTAGAACGATCGTAGGAGTAATTGGAGAACCGCGAATGGATATGAGCTGCACGAATGCTGTAAACAACTCACTCACTAGAGTTTCACCCTGTTGAAATTGGCCTACAGGCTTCATTTGGAAATCGCAGGAGAAGTTGTTGAAACGGAACGGATCCTTCTTCAGGGCCAGTACCGAGAAGTTTCCCTCCGAGTCGCCGAACTTATCGAACTTGATCGTCGCGCCGCTGACACCTGTTTTCGCAGAACACGATTATACATTTTTTTCGTAAATATCCAGGACCAAGAACGATCTTTTTAATATCTAATATCTCTGATCTATAATTCTCAAGTGTTTCTAATTGTCTCGAAATCGCGCAAAAAATCTACGTGACAATAGATGTATCGATTGCACCCACTCGTTCTAATCAGATCTAGTCTTATCGAGAGATCGAGCCACTTCAAACTTGATCGTGTTAGCAATTTGCGGTGCAAATTATACGAATACTTACTTTGATACGTGTGATTTCTGATAATCGTCTCGATGATCTGAGTGCCATTGCTAGCGATCTCCTCGAGTGTGTGCTCTGGTTGATCTCTCAGGAGCTGGTCCAGGGCTCTCGCGTACAGTTTCACCGAATCGTAAAGATACGCGGCGTGAATCGACACATACTGAAACCAGAAAATCACTCTATAGATTGATAGACGAATTTTAATTTCAGCTCCTTCTCTTATAATATAATACGATATCTACCATGTCACAGTCGCGATTTAACGTTTGACGTAATTACGATTTAACAAATACAAATTGTATTTCTAACAAAGTTTGGTTCTCTAGTTTTAGCTTTAAATACTTGGGTATTATTATGAAATATATATCTCGTAGTGATACGTAATAATAATTATCGTTTCAATATCTTGCATTTAAGTAATTATTAATAAACCTAGATTCTGTATTTTTAGGCCTAGATCCTACGCTTTTAATAGCCCTCATAGCATAATTATAAGCCAAGGAGTTAACATTCGACGAACAGCGTACGTTTGATATAAAGAAAGTTACCTTTTCGTATTTTCTCAGCAATTCAGGGATGACAAAATTGAACGGTTCCTTGCTGCTATACTCCCGGACCTTTTTGGTGAACTCTTCGTAGTTCTGTGTGGGTGGCGTAGATACTACCACCATCAAGGATCGTGCCCTCTTGAGGAAGTCCTTCGGCTCCAGGCAATTCCGCAGATTGTCGAAGTGTTCCGGTTCTGTAAGAGACCGATCGCGTGCGAGGCGAGATGAGAAAGGAGCGGTGTTGTACCCTCTTTCGTACGAGGGAAACGGAAATATCTGATTTCGAGAGCGGAGCAACAACACGGGACCGACGACTCTAGAGGAACGTCCATTAAAATCGGATCACGTGCTGGAAACCGGGTCACGAGCGAACCATGCCTGACCCATGACGTTCAGTTAATCTCGGATTAGATACGGAAATGATGAGGTAACGAGGAACGCGGTACGTTTCGTCAAGGAACACCGGAGGACCGCCAAGGAGACCGAACAATCGGGTCAATCGAATTTCACGAGTCGTTTCGTTACCGGAATGGACCTGCTATGGGCCTTGTTGCGCGATTTCGCTAATTATTATTAGCGAAATTTTCGAAATTACGGCGCTGACAAATTTTCACGCGTGACAGTAACAAGAGCTTATTCTTACGTACAGTTTACTAAACTAACTATCTGACTATGCCACTTTCTTGTACAAGTATCATTAACAGCTCAAGATGTAAAAATGAAATTCAAGGCAGTTGCAAAATTGTAAAACCGTGCAACGGACGCCTATAGCCTATAATCTGTAGCTTGTGGACTAGTCGGTCAATTATTGTGCAAGATGTTCGTGATTATCAGACTGCGGACGTTTATGCATTAGCGGAAAATTTAAAATACCGAGATACATAAAATGTCCTTCAAATTCACTGTTCGTTTTAATATTTAACGGATGAAAACAAATCTATTCTTGGATTCCAGTTCTTTAAATAGGATCGTAAAAATATGATATTGCGTAAACACGCGCAGTCTGGTGGTATAATAGTATGTAAATGTATGATACATATATATAGTATGTACTTACTCCATAAGTACTTTTGCGCCTCGCGCGGTGAGTACGTCATCATGTCCACGTGTATCACCATGTATTCCCCGTTGTCTAGCAGCCGTTGATTCTGCATCGAGTTCATCATGTCTATCAGCGACATCGCCGTTCCCAGGAATATGTAAACTGTCGACAGATTTACGCCTTCCGTTAGACGCGCTCCCGCCTCCCGTGGAGCGTTCCATCAACGACGACCGACCGATTTCCAGAACGGAACTGACTTTCACGCTTCATTTTCCTACCGGCGGGAAACGGCTGCTCCGTTTGCCGCGCAATTATCGGTGAGATCATGGAATAAATAGATCTATATACCGTGTACCAGTTCTCACGAAGGAAACACACGAAAATACTCACGAAAGGAAAGTATTCGCGCGATCGGAAAATTCTGTTGTTTCTGTTCCTCTTCTCCGAGAGAAAAGAAATCGACTGTTTCGACTGAAATTTCTGTTAATTTGTAGAATTAATCGAAGCATCGTTGTAACAACTTTGTCACGTTTCATCGACATCCATCTATTTTTATCTTCATTATTCAAATATTCTTCCACAATGCCTTTACAAATTGATTCAACGATCGATTCTTAATATTAAACATTTTTTTCTTCGTGAAGAATTTTTATACAGATATAACTATCGATCTGCTTAACGAAGAATGTGAAAGTTGCCTGCACTGCAAATTTTTGATCGAATCTTCAACACCAGTTAATTTTACCTGGTAAGCAAAATCTGGCGACAGAATTTTCCAACCACCATATAGGTTCGATCATCGCTGTTGCGCTATAACACGCGTCGTTTTTCGCTTTATAAGCGATCTAGCCCCAATGGCATCCAAAGAATTTTAAAGATTAAGCCTAGTAAATGTTACGTCCTATATTAAGTATAGTATCGAGTCTAATTAAGTTTAACGATAGGAAAGAAAAATTTTGTCAACTTCGTTTCTACCGTCTTCTAACGAACTCGCGCTACTGGACTTTAGTCGAACGCGTTAAAGATCAATTTGTATTCTTTCGTTGACGGGGTCAATTCCAGTATCTGGGACACTAAAATCTCGCTCGAACTCGCGCGATTCAACAACCGATGAAGTTGTACTATGGAACCGTTTCTATTTCGAAACACGAGGAAACACGAGTCTCGCGTGTTACAATCGCGCTAAAACCGTTTCAAAAACGAAAGCCACGCGATTCGAAGACAAACAGAACTGGAAACGAGAGGCCGATAGAGAAGGCGGCTCTCGACGAACACATCGTTTCGGTCGTCTCGATGACTTTCTGAGAAATATCGAACGTAAACGAAACTTCAACTGACTTCTGGTCATATTTTTGGTCTCCTGTATGAGTTGAAACCATACGCTGACTTGACAGCAAGGCAGCCTTTCCTCGCAGCACGTGTGTCGATCTTCCACGGTCTTGTAATGATTGACGGTGAGATTATTCTTGGTGGCCTGTTCCTCCAGCGACTTGGCCACCGTCGACCAAGCACTCTCCGTGATGATAGTGAATTTGTTCCAGCCATAATGGAGCAACAACGCGATCACCGACTTCGTCACCTGCGTGTCCGGTGGTTCGGTCCTCGCGAACGTGTTCACCTTCGACGCCTTGTAGTCCGAGCATTTCTGCAATCCACACGGTTTCCCGATCGTGTTTAGCGTCCGTTCAAGTGCACACGCTCTGGCAAGTGTTTGCGTTACGAGTTAATGCGAGCCAGTTGGGACAACGAATGTTGATGTTGGAGTTCGTATTGGTTTTGCGTTTCTAGCAGGTTTTGGCCGAAATGTTGCATTCTATGTTGGAGTTTATGTTTGCAGAGAGGTGAAATTAAGTATAGAAGGGTAATTAGTTGTCGCGTCGACCGTGGATAAATTTCGTTATTTTAGCGCGATACATAGCGGCTACTATACGAGAGAAGTATTTGCACACCGTTGTATTTATTAGAGCATTTACGTGCCGATTAATTAGGTCCAAATATATTAAATATCGTATCATCTATCGTTAGCGGTATAATAAAATGAAATTTGATGCTATGAAACTGAAATATAGAACCTGACGAAGAGACCACTCACTGGAAAACGAGGGTATGCGCGTATATTTTTTCCTAGCTACTGTACATATAACGTATAGATACCTTGTTAAGACAATATAGTCGCTTAAGCGCTTCACGATGCATTTAGCGCTTTGCATCGTTGCAATTCCACCACGTAACCACCATGACAGTCAACGTGTTAAGGGACGAAGTTGATATCTCTAGATCGAGCAGCGACATTAAAAACCATACACCGTCGGTGACACTTTTCTATCGATTACAGTTTTTTATGAACGGTCAACGAACCACGCGTAGGAATTCCAACGTTTCGAGTTTGAAAATTACGCAAGGAACCTTGAACACTCAGCAGCTAAACAAGAGAACAAAGGCCGCGAAAACAGCCGCGAAGTGTCGTCGAAAGTACTGAAAACAGATCAGTAAGTAAGAGGGGACGAATCGGCGAACAGCCGGAAAACAATGTCACAAGCGTCGAAAAGGAAGAGCGAAAGCCAGAAAGCTGAAAGGGGCCAGGCGAGAGAAGCGACGGAGGTGAAGGATCGAAGAAAGAAAACAACTGAGAGCAGAGCGATCGATAGCGATGGAAAAGGGTGTAGAGAATGAAGAGAAGGAGTAGGTGGCTGAAGAGATAGAGAAAGAGGAAAGAATGGAAGAGATGGAAAAAGAGTAGAAGGCAGGAGAGTAACGCGGCAAAGTGGGCTGCGCCGGGTGCCATGGTGTGTGGCGCGCGGTTAAATATAAACCTGTGGCAGGCGGTACGAAGGAGGGCAGGAGGAGAGTGGAATGAACGGGGCAACTCTCTTCTCTCTTCTCTCGGTGATCGCGAGTGGAGAAGTGCACGGGGCGGCTGCTCCGTACCGTTGAAATGTGACATGCGCTCATTAACATATAAATTAAACGTGACAACTGGGGGTCAGTTCTACTTTAACCGTGGCGACCACCGTCAGGCCACGATCCACTTTCCGTTGTTTTTTCCACCTCCTTGTCCTCCTTCTTTTACTCCGTTTCGTTTCTTTTTTCCCCTCTTCCATCTTTCTGCTTATACGCTCGCTCTTTTCCTCTTGTTCCATACTCGATCGAACAACCGAGTAGGCTTCTCTACCGACAACCAAAGAGACCACGAAATTCATGCATCGAACGAGTCGCGATCACCGCCACCGCCGCAACTCCATCGTCACTTTTCCCTCGTTACAGTCTGCCGACCATGGGATTTGCGGTTATGGGGAGCGTTGCCCCGTGAATCTTTACAACTATCTTACCGCTTGGGGATTGCCAGCGAAAAATAATCGTTGGCGGGACCAGGAAGTCCCTTCTTCGTTTATTCGTTGTTATCGACTAACTCGAGTATCGAGCACTTCTTTTTGATATTATACGATTTTTCTCTGTATTACGATATGGCGTTGCCGTAGCGTATCGGATGCTTCAATTATAATTTTAATAGAATTTCGTTTATAGCTTAATTCTGCCTATTTACCTTCACATGCCTTTCGTGCAAATTGCTCGATACATATAAGAAACTATAGTCTTCAACACCGATTTACGTATATTATTTATGTACGAACGACAAGCACAATTTTACGTCCGACTACACAGACACTTTACTTCCTACTTTCGATGAAAGAATTATCAAATTCGGCCATTTATGTCGTTATGTCAATTTGTCACTGCGACATTAATAAATAAATTGGATTCGGCAAACGAACGAGGACGAACGAAGTTTAAAAATAGCGACTGTCTTGTTAAATAATCTACGTTAAAAATTGCTAATAAAATCTATATCTTGCGTTTCGATAATTCTGTCTTCGTATCTTAAAAAAGAATTTCAAGCGTTCGATCAATCCGCATGGACACGATCGCGCGCGCCAAAATCGAGCACTCTCTCTTTCCAGCGTCCTCTGCTCGTCCTCCCACGATTCCAGGAAGTCGAGATCGTCAGCGATTTACCCACCTGGTCAGAATCGTTCCTTTTTCTCTTATTCGCGGTCCCGCGTGCGATGGTGACGCTGGCCGGTGCTTTTTGCGCAGAACTTCCACTCGAAATGCCAAATTAGACGAAGCCGAGGAAAATACTTGAAAAAACGAGAGCCAAAAGGAACATCCACCTTTCCCAAGATTACCCTCTCGAACACCGGACGTCGCGATACATGTGAATGTACGACGCTCGCTTGTGAATTTGCCGAACGGAAGATGACTATACGCCGCGTATGATAGCGACATTTATCGTTATTACATTGAAATGAAAGAAAAAAAAAAAAGAAAAAAGACAAATTGATTCGGCAATGGCGGGGGGGTGT